TTCGGATGACTTCATCATGGCTAACATTTAAGAAACATATCCTCTTGTTTGTCTCTGCATTTAGAATAGGCAAAAGTGAGACATATCCTTTATTTTGAGCAGTTTTTTCGTTCTTTTTTTTTCACAAACCCATGCACAAACATTGACTGCAATTAGTGATCTTCTTGAAAACTTAACTTAGGCATAGTCTTTTTAAGTTTGACCAATTTTTTTTTTTTGGGAAATAAAAAGTATGGAAGTTTGACTAATTAATAAAAAATGAAATCTTCTATTATGAAGTTCGACTTAAACTTTTTGATAGACTTGCCAGGAAACAATATTCAAAACTCACCCAAAGCCCTCTAAATAACACACAACATTTCAGATCAGTTGCTTAACTACCTCTACTGAAAGCTGCACATACACCAGAATGAGCAAGCGCAAAGACAATATCACGTGCAGCGACTATTTCAGTAACTTTTGTTCTCTTCAACAAAAAGGGTAGCACTACGGAACAGCGACCCAAGGGATCATGAGTATCGTATTGCTCCTGATGCAAAAAGTCAATAAAGCATTTATGAGAAAGGAAAAGGAAAAACCAATTCATTACAATGAGTTTGAATTTCATTAGCAGTCAAAGCATGAACATAATGGACATAAGATTTGGAGGTAGACTGCGTGCTGTATGGATGATAAATATAACATGAATTTTGCATCCTTGCCACCTGACAAATAAGTCAGAGATCAAGTAATCAAGAAAATTATATGGCATAAATAAGTTCATGTCACAAAATCACCTCATGCAGTAATATGTCTGAAACTTGGTCAAATCTAAAGTTCACAATCATTATACAAAGGTAAGAAAACTACATTTGTTGATTAACTTCTAAAGAAAGAATTGGAAGTCACAGCATCTTCTTCCGTGATTCAACCTCATTTAATAAGAGGGAGACCTGAGGATATAGAGAAGAACATTCACAGCCAATTAATTTATCCTATATTTTCTTTTGTCATAATATGTTGAATGCCTCTCAGACTTACACATGAACTACCCAGCTTTATATCCACTACTGTGTCCCTCCTACAGGCTTACTATGAAGACTAAGTATTAAGAAACCCACGAGTGGGTTTATTATTGAACTAACTGATGGGTACAGGATTTAAATCACAGATTACGACAATCATCTAGAAACTGAACTCGGAGAATCCGGGCAGACAGCTAAAAATATGTAAAGAATTATATGCAGAGAAGCAGCAGGCAACATATAGAAAGACAAAGAAAGGAGAGCGTATGTATCATTTATTTTACCACCAAACGCATATTGCGAAATCTTTCTTGGGCAGTGCTGATGCTGAAAGCACGATCCTTCTTGGAGGAGATCTCTCGCCTCTGAAGCTTCTTGACGCTGTTGACGAATCCATCCACGCGTGCCCTTTTCTTCGCTACTATTCTCCTTCCACAACACGGCCTTGGGCTTGCCGATATCCTCCTACCTTCCATGGCTCTCTTCCCCAGCCGGGTTCAGATTCAGAACCAGATTTCCTTTCGCAGACCGGAGACACAAAGAGAAAGAATTTGTTTCCTTGAGTTGAATTCTCAATTTATGTCCAGATGAACTTGAATTGGAAGCATCAAAACCCTAATAGCACAGAGAAGCAAATAATCCACTGCTCCCACCAAACCCTAGCAATCCGGAGCAGAATCGTGAAACTGAAAAGAGAAAAGGAGACACCATCGCCAAACTCTTATCTCCTTGGGTTGTTTGGTACTCCAAGAAGGTGATGCTCTCTTTTCTCTTTCGCCCTTGTCTGATAATGACAAGAGGTGATGTCAACCTGGAGAGAAGAAACTGTGGTGAAATATGGGAGAGGATGATGTTCCCAAAATAGTATATGCTCTTTTTTAACTTCTAAAAAGTAAAATAACATACAATAAATCTTTCCTTATTTACACATTAATTTTTTGCTAAATTAGTGTTGTAATATTTGCTATATTATATCCGTATAAGAAATTATATTTTGCTATTTGCATCAATTGGTTCGCAAACCCATAAAGGAAGCAAATTGGTGTTGAATAGTGTTGAATATCAAGGTAGGAAGGTCACTAATATGAATTTATATTAGAGTATTATTAGAATAATTTTATCCTAAAATTATTTCACATATAAATACTCTCAGTAAGTTTGTTGAACACGCTTTCAAATATAACTTTACAGATGTTGCAAGTGACATTCTGAGTGCACTAGCAATCAAACCTCAAGTTATTGATTTGAAGACTATTCTAAATAATAAACTAAAAGAAATAATTTTATTTTATAAGTGTTGGAAAAAAATTAATCCTTAAAGCATGCACAATTACACTAAACTAAAAGCGAAAAGAAAAAAATACAAATATTTTACGTGGTTCAATATTGTGCCTACATCCACAGACAGATTGGCAAAAAAAATTATATTATGTAATCTGATAGTACATCACCAATAGTTAGCAAACCTATTTATAGAAAATAAATAAAAACTTTATAGGACATATATCAAATATTTTTCAAGATAATACAAGAAATTCAAAATATCCCCAAATATAATAATACTACTAAATCAGGACATCACAATCTTCCCTTGGCTGATTTCTC